AATTGATACAGCTCCAAAAGTCCAACTACCCGTCATAGAGTTAGTTAGTTGGAGGACTTCCCCCCACAGCGAGGCGGTGGCGTTAACCGGTTGGCGGTTGGTCGAGAATTTCATCTGCAGTCGATATCTCGATGCACGTCAATCAAACGCATGAGACGCGTGACTCGATCCTGAAGATTCTCATCGAGATAGGTGGAGCCTGGCGGCCCGGACAATGCTTAATGTCTTCACCAAACTGAAGGCTTCAGCAGCTGCCAAACATGGATAGAGGTCGACAGGTCAACGTGCTGGACACAGCAGAACCTGGACTTCTGGCCGAATTGCTCGTTTAGTGATGAAATTTCAATGGTCCAAGGTCAATAAACTCGGTCTTAAAAATTACCTCAATTTAAGATTATCCTCAGTTTAGTGTTGTCAGATTCACAGGTTCACATGAAATCTTGTATACAGGATGTCCCAGAACGAAAGTTCAGTATTCTTGCAGGCCATAGTATCGGTCATTCTAAAGTGTATATGTACATGTGTTCCATTCAGAACGGTTTCTGCAGTTCCAACATTCTTCGTATTAAAGAGAGAGTAACTACTGTTTCTAATACCGGTATTTATTGTTCACGTGACAAAATTAGTGCAGTTTACTTAGTGTAATACATTCTCGAAAATTCCCCCGTCAACATCAATGCACTTTGCAGCTCGTGTGAGGACATGGCGTGTTGCTCTTCTGTACAGTGTACAGTGTACTGTACAGTGAAATAACTCTATCTCGGTTCAACTCGTGTGAGGACATGGCACGTTGCTCGTCTGTACAGTATACAGTGCACTGTACAGTGAAATAGCTCTACCTCGGTGCAACTCGTATGAGGACATGGCGTGTTGCTCGTCTGTACAGTGTACAGTGTACTGTAGAGTGAAATAGCTTTATCTCGGTGCAACTCATGTGAGGACATGGCGTGTTGCTCGCCTGTACAGTGAAATAGCTCTATCTCGGTGCAACTCATGTGAAGACCTGGCGTGTTGCTCGTCTGCACAGTGTATAATGTACTGTGCAGTGAAATGGCTCTACCTTGGTGCAACTCGTGTGATGACATGGCTGTTTGTTCGTCTGTACAGTGTACAGTGTACTGTACAGTGAAATAGCTGTATCTCGGTGCAACTCGTGTGAGGACATGGCGTGTTGCTCGCCTGTACAGTATACAGTGTACTGTACAGTGAAATAGCTGTATCTCGGTGCAACTCCTGTGAAGACATGGCGTGTTGCTCGCCTGTACAGTGTACAGTGTACTGTACAGTGAAATAGCTGTATCTCGGTGCAACTCGTGTGAGGACATGGCGTGTTGCTCGCCTGTACAGTGTACAGTGTACTGTACAGTGAAATTGCTATATCTCAGAAACCGTTCGGAATAGGACACACGCACACTTTTTTGTTTAGAATGACCGATTCTGTGACCTCCAAGAATACTGACCTTTCCTTCTAGGACACTGTATAGGTGTTCCACAATATTCCAAATTGAGCAACGATAGCTCGGTCGATCTAGCGACTAGGCTACAGGTTGAACGACCGAGGAATCGACATTCTATTTCTGACAGGAAGGAAAATATTTTCTTCTTCTCAGGAACCCCAAAACCAGATGTGGAACTCACCCTGCTTCCGGTTTCTTCTTTGTGGAGTGTTGAAAGACGCTTGAAATTTCGATAATAAGCAGCTTCAGATGCTAAGTGATAACGAAATGGAAATGCTTTGGAAGCAATTTGGCCTGACCTAATCTAGGTACTATCCCAGCAATCTCCTGCAGAGAGAACTGTATATCTCATTCAGGTTGGCCTATGTCCCAGCCAAGATATGAATCGAACCGAGCATCTCCCAGGTACAAGTCTGGAACACTTCTAGACTAACGTGTTCGATCACCTATCCTATGCAGGACCTTTTCCGCCGGATTAAACCGACCGGAGCATGAAGGTGAACACTCTCATCCAGTACCGAAATCAACAATTCTTCGAGTCAGCGTCCACCTTCTCGTGTAATTACGTAACTACATTGCGCGGTGCTTAATTAAACACAAGGGCAAATGTTACTTTACTTCTATGAACTATGGAGAAGCCGGGATAGCTACTGACTGGACAGAGGGGTCGGAGTTTGAGTCCTGGTATGATGAAGAATTTTCTCCACTTCGTCCAAACCGGTTCTGGGTCCCACCCAGCCTCCTATCTAATGGGTGATGGGGTTAAGCAGCCGGGGCGTGAACCTGACCACTCACCTCCAACTAGTGCCGAGGTCTGGATCCTTACATCTACTTCCCCATACGTCTTCATGGCGTACTTATTAATTAGTTAAGCACAAGGACAGGCCGCACCATAGCTCAAGCGGTTAGTCGCTGGCTTCCCACCGCGGCGGTCCGGGTTCGATCCCGGGTATGGTAAAATGGGATTTATGGTGGAAAAAGTGACGCTGGGGCGGGTTTTCTCCGAGTACTTCGGTTTCCCCTGCCAGTCTTCATTCCACCAGAGTCTCCATCATCATAATCACCCGAGACAGGTACAATAGGCCAATCAGTGGCCGAAGTGCCGAGTGGACCTAGTTGGACTCCACACCCCACTAAGCATAAGGACAACTTTACCTTTGTTTTATCTATATGATTCATTTTACAGATGCCTTGCTGTTGGCAATGGTTGTGTTTTCCAAAAATGTAAAGATTAATGTATAGCCAAACTGTAATTGAGACAGAGCTAGAAGTAATAGTTTTTGTACTTGAGTAATTTGAAAGACATGTTTCCCCCTCCAGCTTGAAGAAGCAAGAAATAAGAAGCTAACAAATATTATAAGTCTGGAGTTAAGCACTCCCTGTGCTTAATTAAGTGCCACGGCATGAAGAAGTATAAGGGAGTTAAGGTGTAACTCCAGTGATTCCTAATCTCGGCTCTAAACGGAGGTGAATGGTTAGCTTCATTCCCAGCCACGAGGATGAGCTCGAACCAGAGTCGGTCTGGACGTTGTGAAAAAAAAAAAATCTCAGCCGCTGGCGGAAATTGGACTCTGATTCGTCGGTCGTCCAAATGGTATTCTATTCGCTATATAGACTGAGGTTTCCTGGCCCGTATGAGTTTTATATAAAACAAAGTAAAGCTATCCCTGTAGCAGGGCGTGAAGACCAATAGAGTTGTGAGATATCGAGGTTCCCACATTTTCTAGACAGTGGGCTCATGGATGGCGGCAAGGTTGTCAGTCCTACGCGCCGGCCGCCCTTTACCCCCAAGAATATTCCTGGTACTCATTTCTGTTAGAGGCTGAGTCGACCCCAGGGCCGTAGTGCGGCTGGAAAGATTGGGTCAATAGATGAGTTTTCTGTTATTTGTATTATTTAGATATATAGACAGCTGCTCAGAAAATCACCGGCGACTGACTGACCGTCAGCCGCAATGTGACTTTTGACTTTGACAGACGAGACACGAGGCCCGTGTGGAGTCGTTTTCGCATATCTCCACCGTAACCCTGCGAGGCGTAGTAGGCGACGAAAAGGGAAGTCTCAAATTTGAGAAATGGTCGCGAGTCCCAAGGGACTTGGACCCGAGAAAGACTGCGCTGGCAAGGACTAGCAGCATATACAAAATACAGACCCGTCCTTTCGTCAGACAGGGCGCTCACAAAAAACAAGACCGTAACTGTCAAGCAGTAATATAGATCTGGTCGCAAGCCCAAAATGCGTGCTTTATGCCAGGACAGACTGGCCGACTAACCGTCGGCCGTAAAATGAGACTCAGACTCTGACTCAGAAAATTACCTACATTTTAGTGCGTTGGAATCCTGACAACTTTACTTCATTTTATATTATTTTGACAAGGCAAAATCCACTATTTTAATCTAGTCAGTTTCTATTGCTGATCTCTTTTCTCTTTATGTATATACACACGTAAATTTATTTATAACTCTAAGCATCTTTCCACTCCTCGTCAGTTGGAACGAGTTCGCGGGAACGCCGTTCGAGGCGCCACTTGGCTTTTTAGTACGAAAGCTGCTTACATGGGTATAGGCGAAGTAAATGGTTGCAGAAAACATGTACGAGAGAACAACTGAGCAATGGCTGAGATTAATCGCCACCTGGAAATGGCCCATATTTTTTTTTCCGGATAAACGGCAGAGTATACCATTTCGTCTCACCGCTGTGACCAATTGAGGCAAATAAGCCAAAGCATTTCGATCTTGGTGAAGCGACAACAAAACGCCTTGAAAACCAGTCAAGTCGAAGGCGTATGGCAGAAGTAATACAACTGAACGAGATTCTGCTACACGTTAACCCGTTTTGAGTCATAAACGAATGCATCAAATTATATTAAAAATATTGTGGCGTGTAAAGCCGTTTCTAGGCAATGGCACGGCTAACACATTCCCGCGACAACGGATAGGCATACAACAATAGAGACACTGTTGGAAACGGTGTTTTCTGTTCAGTCCGTGAGAAGGATTTATAAGGAAGACAGTCAGTTCTGTACGGGAGTCGGAAGAATATGGACAGCTGGAAGGGAGCCGCCGTTCAGAGAGGAGTTTAGCCCGGAAGCAGAGGAATAGCCATTGTTGGAGCCGTTACCAGGAGACGTCTGGTAACAATCTGAGAACACTAATCTGTGTGTTTAGTGATTCGTGAAATGGGGAAATTAGTGATGGCGCTAAAATTAAGTGTAATTACGAATCGTAATTAAAATAGTCAATTAATTCAATATGCAATCCAAAACCCCGTCGATAGTCACACATACACGTGACAGTATGAATGAATAAATGAAATACGTTGATATTTAGACGCCCTATACAACTTATTTCATGAAAATGTCCTATTCCAGACTGTCCGTTTAGAAATGTCTTCTGTTCCTACTTATATTGCGCTTACATAAAAAAAGGTAAAGCTGTCCCTGTGCTTAACTAATTAAGAACTATGTCATGAAGACGTATGTGAGAGTGGATATATAGATCCATATTACACTTTTGCAAAATGACATTTCGTATTTGCTTTCAGACTTTGTTGTGCTTGCTCGCGACTCGTCCTGTCCTCGCATCTGCCCGCAGCCAACCGCCCCTGGGGGCGGAGACCCCGTTTGTGGCTCTGATGGAATCATCTACCCCAGTCTGTGCGAAATGAAGAAGAAGACCTGTGGAAAAGGCAAGTTGAGGAGTCGCCCCAGCGTGAATAGCGTCCCGTTATTGCTGCACGATTTTAACTAAAATTGACATGTTTGGAAAATTTTAGTGAAATTCTCAATATCACATTTCACACGAAGAGTCGTTCTCTTAATGTATTTGTGGACATTATCCGTCGTCCGGTTTTTGTTTAAAACAAACCGTTTTGGAGACCGCATTATGTCTCTGTCTTCAGTTGATACCTTACTCAGTCGGTCCCAATCCACAGGGCTGGTCCCTTTCTCCAGACCTATTGGGCCCAACTGAGTAGGTTTTGCATGAAAATGGAGACAGAATCCAGTCTCCGAAACGTTATGTGTTTTAAATAAAATAAAAACAGGACGATGGATAATGTCCAGAAACATAATAATGTAGTAATATAACATTGTCACAAACTTTTGGATCTTATAGCGAGGCTTCTGTTCTCAAGTTATTGCATGTGAAGAGGCTGGGAGGCATAGCTAAGCTAATTTGGCGAGTTTTTTCAACTCTTCGTTGTGCATGATCAGGAAATTGACGGGGATTTCTGGTTAATGTTTAAAGTAACGATTTATGTCACTGCTGGTTGCACACGTTGAGTTTTCGTTCAATTTTTAAGGAGTCCGACTAGCATCAGATGCTGGCCTGTGCATGAGGTCGGCTGGTTCTCGTTGCGAACACCGGTGTGGTAAGGACAGAGATCCTGTGTGTGGAACCGATGGCAGAACGTACCTGAACCGATGCATGCTACAAGTGGAGATTTGCAGGTACGTTAATCTGATTCCAACGTCAACAATACGAAAACTACATAATGCGAATGGTCCAGTTACTGCCCTTGTTTATAATACAGCCCACCGTGGTATTCTCACAAGTATGTACTGCTCTCTGATGGTGACATCAGTACCTTCTAGAACACCATTCTGTTAATTTTCTTGAAGTTTAAAATGAGGTGTCTGTTGTTCGAACTTTCTGCGGTTAGTTGAAAGAAAATCTGCAGTGATGACGTATCAAGTACTATGCTGTGATGTTAGTATAGTAACTATAATGGCTGCAGTCACACAGACCATATACTTAATGGTTTGTGGGCTCTGTAACAATTAATTCATGCCTGCGTTATGCCCTTAAGGCCATACTGGAAGACTTTTAGAATTATAATCCTTTGTTGGTTGGTTGGTTTCCAGTGGCTGCATTTGGGATCATTTAACCTATTTTGATTCTTGTTTCCCAGTAGAGAGCACTCAAGTTCTTTGTTACATCTCACTGTTAAGATTAGGGCATTGAAGGAGGTGTTCTTGTGCCATAGATGATCCTGGCAAGTTGCACAGTGTACATTCTTCTGTGTTTATATTCCTATCTTACATAGATGTGCTGCAAGGCAGTCATGTCCCGTAATCAATCGAAAATTTGCAACAGCTCCATTTCTGGGTTTCTTGCTAATAATTTTTCGTTTTCTTATTTCTGACCATTTCCTGTTGTATGGTTCTTTGTTGATTGTATGGAGTATTATAATCGTAGAAGTACGAATTTTGATTTAGCAGTACCCTGAAGACGTGTAATAACGTAGGAATGTAAGAGTACAGTCATCAGAACAGTGCCCACTAAGTCCGATATTGCTGATTTGGGTATGCCGATGTATAATATAATCAGGAACTGCTCTATGACAGTATAGACTCTATGATAAGTACCTCTGGGTCTGTAGACACAGAGAGGTATTGATGAAAGTTTGAAAGAAGTTGACAGGTTGAGGCTATACCCTATAGCCCTTCAGCAGTTAGTTAATATGTCGCTAGGAGATCAGCCAATCTGAGAACCATGGATCTTCAAAAACTTCCGTTCTCCACTGTCGCCTTCCTTATCATCCAAAGTAAGTGGAATCATGACTTGTAACTAAGGAAGTTCATTGCAGTGTTAGCCTAACAATCTCATGGAACTAGAGTAATGTAGTGACAATTTGACAACATATATCAGTATGTATATAGTGAGAAATAATTATGTATTTAACGATCTCCCATTTCATAATAAATGTTATCCTGATGCCGCTTTTGAAGGGAATTCCCTGTAGTTACAGCAGCAACCGAAACTTCTGCCCCTTCTATTCCTCCTACCCAAGGGCATTACAGTCTAACTGATTAACCCGTCTGCCTCGTCTTTTCTGGGAAGGTCTTTATGTTGAAATCATGAAGTGTTTCTGACATCGCCCACTGCACCGTTCCTAATATGTCCCACTAGGCGATATTTGGTGTACATGCAAAATTTGTTGTTTTTTTTTTCGTGCAGAAATCATATAAGACATAAAAGATTCAATGAAATGAGCCAGGTATGTATTTTATGTCAGACAAGGGGCTGATCAGAACTTTTAATGTACTAAGATCAACACTAAAGGATTGCTTTGACAAGGAGGAAGTTAATGCTGAAAGGCTATATCATTCATTTATACCTAATGGTTATTTGTGTTTGTTTCAATTTTGAAAATATACAAATAATATTTGGTCCATCCTTTTCCTATAAAAATTAAAATGGACGATATTTGGAGCACTTTCCGAAACATGAAACATTTCTGATAGTCCTACATATGGCCCTCTATCAGGAGTGACATTGTCACCTGTGTCATCAAACAAAGTGACCTTTTATCAGCCCCAGTATATTGTCAGGTATTACAGTGATTATAGATGGGGTTTGGATTGGTAATTGGATTTACTGAACACTTGCAGATCGTAACTACACGTAACTAAAGCGTTATCTCTAACTTACTGTACAATTCACTGCAGCATATATGAACTACTTCTCAGTCTGCTGTGTCTTCACCAGTCATTGTCTGGTAATGGCTTCCAACGCCGTAGAGCGCTCAACTTCAATGTTCATGTTCTTACAGGCCGGTGACTGTCTCGCAACAACTAAACCCTTCACTTCATTCAACTCAACTGAACTAACTCCACTGACTGTCTGCTTACATCATCTCGGCGTGGACTGCATAGAAAACACCATTCCAACAGTTCTATTTTTGTGTTACGCAGCTGTTGCATGGGCCATGCAGAACCTTTTCCCAGTTAGTCCATTGAAGCATGTTAAGAATCTGTTGCCTATCAACGGGTCTACATGCTACAGTATACTACTTTCAGTGATGGGGAAACTGAAAGATATGCTTCCACAAGAGTAATTCGGTACCTGACTCATTTAGGAGATTCTGACCAAGGATCAGCTGTCCTGAATCGTGAATTTCTTTAGATCCTTCCTTTTACCTTGAAGATTAAGGAACTATATTCCCCATCACGCCCATCTATCAGATGGAGATATAGCAAGAAAGCCACAATACATGCCTACACACAGTCTGCAGTCTCTTTCTAACACATCCTCCCATATCTCATTGAATGTTACATTATTTTATCTCTTGACCTTCATACTTTCCTCCACATCCAGACCTATCAATGTCATCTGTAAGGTGTTATTCTGCATGCTGGGTTAGTGCAAGCCTAAATAATACCCAAGGCAACAAGAAATTCTGCTCCTTCCCAACCCTCAGCTTTCACAATACTTCTTCACAATTTATAACATGAGTTTTCCAGGCCCTCTGATGAAAATTGTCGTTGGTGTCATAATATTTACAGCTTCATTTACATTGTTGCATACAGAAATTAATTTTCCTTAAGCAAAGGGGAGGGGAGTGGAAAAAAGACAGTAAAATGTGCTGTATCTGAGTTGTATCAGGTGGCTGCTTATTTTGCCATACTGTTCCTCTGGCTCTGTTTACCCAAATTTTCCATGACATTGTTGTGCTACTCCTGACCCTAATTCATGCTCTCTTGTTGACAGAGTTGGAATTCAGATGTCGCATCTTGGGCCCTGTAACAATATATCAGCACACCGGGAAAACTGCCCAGTGTCTTGTGAGCAGGCACCTATTGACGGGCCTATCTGTGGCTCTGATGGCAATGTCTACAAGAACACATGTCAGATGAAGCTGCTAACATGTGGGTGAGTTTTGTGTCACAGCAACAGAAAGTACAGACCTTAGCTGATTTATATCCATCCTCTAGATCACCAACATAATGATGAGACTGACAATAAACAAGCATGTGCACTTAGGGGATCAGTTCAGGCTATTTTGAAGTGTTATTGCCTCTTCGTTTTCAATTCATGAGTACGAACCTTCTATGTTGTCTTATAAAAGTAAAACATAAAAAAGTAGGTGAAGATATCCCTGAAACAGGCTGTGGAGGCCCACAGGGTTGTGAGATGTTGAGGTTCCCACGTTTTCTAGACAATCGGCTCATAGATGGTGGTGAGGTTGTCAGCCCTATGCACCGGCCGCACTTTACCCCTAAGAATATTCCTGGTACTCATTTCTGTTAGAGGCTGAATCGACCCCAGGGCCATAGTGTGGCTGGAAGGAGTAGGTAAATTGAAGAAAATCCCGTGACCTCATCGGAACTTGAACCCGCGACCTTCCAGCTTGTAGCATAGTGCCTTCTATGTTGTCTTATAAACATCATAAAACAAGTGGAGGTGGTGAGCCCCCTCCTCTCTGTTCATGTTGTAGGGATGGAGTTCAATCTCAATGGCCACCCTAATAATGCGATTCATATAACTGGTCTTGGTGGCGAGGATGGAGGTATTCTGAAGCTGAATGCGGTGTCCCAAATTGATGCTGTGTTCAGCCACAGCTGTCTTGTCTGGATGTTTGAGACGGATGTGCCACTGATGCCCCTTCAACCTCGTGTCCACAGAACAGCCTGTCTGCCCAATACAGACATTGCCGCACTCACATGGGATACTGTATACATCCGGTGTCCTTAGTCCCAGGCTATCTTTGACCGCCCTGAGGAAACTAGATAATTTCTTTGGAGGCAGGCCCACTGATTTGATGTTGTGTCAGGACAGTGGTCTGCTAATACGGTTGAATATTATCCCGACATAAGACAGGAAGGCGACTGAGTCCGGTTTATCTTCGGGCTGGCTGATGTTCGGCCAATGGTTGAGAACTCTGTGGGTCTGCCGGTTGTTGAATCCGTTCTGCCTGAAAACATCCCCCAGGAGTACCAACTCCGCATGTAGGCTGTCTTGATCACATAGAGCTCTAGCCCTGTTCACCAATGTGGAAAGTACAGCTTGCTTGTTGGAAGGGTGGCAGTGGGATGCAGCATTTGCAAATTCATTCCACAAAGATGGAATATTAGACGACAGTATATATATTTGAAAATCCTTAATATTCCTTTCAGTCTCTCCGTCGCATTAAAATTCTATGAAAGATTGTTTAAAAATAGTTACAGCATGGAATTTGGAATTTAAGCAAGAAATTATGGAAAGAACTAATCAGCTATTTACCGTTCACTACAGTTTGTGCACCTGACACGGCAAATTAAAAAAAAAACAACTTTCTTATGTATGCATAATGAAGTCAATAGAACAATACCATAATATGCTGACATTACCAAAGGGAATGACTTAGGAGATCACTGTTGAAAATAACTTGTATGAAATGGTTTTCGTACCAAGATGATCGGCTCAGACATTGAAGTAATACTGAGCAGGTTCAGTTTTGGTATTCATGATGGGAGGGATTTATGACGTACGCCATTTTGATGGTCTCTAATGTATATGTACCAAGTTAGATGAAGATAGGTACAGGAGTTTGAAAGTTGTTGGGGGGGGGGGGGTTCCAAACTGATAACGGTATTGGGGGGCAATGTGTAAAGTGGGCGTGGGCCTGTTTATGTAAGGTGATGTGCTCAGTTTAATAGAGAAGAAACAATAAAGAATTGGCATATTGAAATGTTTGACCTTAATAATAATTGTTTAAATTTTAAACTGATGATTTCTCCCTAAAAGAAGTTGTTTATTTTCGGACGTTCTTAAACGCGAATATCCATTTCTAATTAATGATGACACTGATGTAAATAAACTGAGGCTGTGTAAGAACGTTTTCTCAACAAGTCATGGGAGGAAGGAACTTTACAGAGAAACAGATTCGTGCAAACAAGCATAAAGCATCACTCACTGGCTGGTAAACTATCGCGTAAAAATGATTCTTTTTTGGGAAAACCCAGTTGGAATAAAGAATTGGACCTTGCAGCAAAGAAAAAAAAAAGGAACATCGCTTTCCGCACCGTCGCTCACGTTCAAAGTTTCCAATCGATGGATTTTATCTCGACAATAATTCGGAAGCTGTTTGAACCGGACTTCACATGTGCACAAACCCAGGTTCGAGCTGTTGTGCTAAATGCCCTTGATACACCGAATGTCAATCAAGTAAGAGAAGAGGTTGAAGATGCCAAATTTATATCCGTAATGGCCGATTCATCAGATGACAAACACACTAAGGTTATTCTTATTTCTTGTACGTTACTTTGTTCTGTAGTTCATAAACTGGTTTGGAGTTTCTTCTGCGTAGTTAATTGAGCATATAGTCAGTGTTAGAGTGACTGTGGACTGAGTTTGGACTGATGACTCGATTTATTGACCACTTATACACAGAACTCGTGACTACATATTACAGATCACTGTCACACACAGACTAGTGTCCTCAGGTCATTACATTCTCCAATAACCGTTGCCTGGTAACGGCTTTCAACTGCGGACATTGCACTTACTCTGGGTGCCTGAACTATCCCCGTGCCTCAGCCACCAGCTTCTAACAGCAACAGTTCACAACAACTGAAACTGCAGTTCTCTGACTAACTCCCAGGCTGGCGGCCGTCTCACACCAACCTCTAATTTTCTCTTCACAGACTAAGAACTGACACAGCTAGAGTCAGAGCCAGAGTCAGAATCGGAGTTAGAGTCAGAGTCACATTGCGGCTGATGGTCAATCAGTCAGTAAGTCTTGGTGTCGAGCCCCATCTGGAGCTCATGACTAGATATTTATTACCGTTTGACAGTTACGATCTTGTTTTTGTGGGGCGTCTTCTCTGACGAGAGGACGGGTCTGTCTTTTGTATATGCTGCTGGCCCTTCCCAGCACGGTCTTTCTCCGGTCCGGGTCCCCTGGGACTCGCGACCATATTTTACTGTCTCAGATTTGAGACTTCCCTTTTCGTCGCTTCCTACGACTCGCAGGGTCACGGTGGAGCATTTCGACCCCGCCTCCACATGGGTTTGCGTCAGCTATGACCTATACTAGACACTGCCACCTGAAAGGACACCTTTTCAAACTGGTACTGACAAATTACCCAACCTGTGAAAGGTGCCTACAGGAAGACGAATCAGCTACACACATCCTGTGTGACTGTGAGGTCATAGCTTATTTAAGATTTCGTCACCTGGGTCAGTTCTTCATGGAACCAAGTGACTTTTATGACGCCCCCATAAACAGAGTCCTATATTTCATTCGAAGTGTGGGATTAAAAAAGGGGTTAATCCAAAGGGGAAGCACAATAGATCATTGAAGGTCGCAGTGCGAGGGCCGGATTCTATGGCCCACCCCTTACACACATACAGTTATGACCTTGTCCCTTGCTTATAACATCTTGGCACGGACCACGAAAACACCGTTCATCTGTTGCGTGGGTATCCGTTGCAGCGGGAACGTGTTTACCGAGCCGTTCCCTAAGAGTGGCTGTCTATTATTGCTTATTAAGAATTTTCTGCTTATCAACGGACGTTGTTCCGTTTGTTTCGCGGCCGTTGCCTAGAAACTAATATCGTTTCAGAGCCATTCGCTAGCAACGTGAATTATTTTCAAATTTTCACTCTTTTTATTCAAAATTGTCTCCTGAATCAATACATAGCTGGAATCAATTGAAAAGTTTTCGAAAACAGTCACTGTACTCCTTTTGTGGAATCGAATTTAAAACTGCCGTACATTCCCTTTGGTTATCCTGGATGGTGTCGTGACGGTCTACTTTCATCGCCAACTTAACTTTTGGGAACAACCAGAAATCTGCCGGAGCCAAATCTGGCGAATACGGAGGATGATCAAGGACTGTGATTACTTTTCTGGCCAAAAAATCGCGCACGATCTTCGATTTGTGGGATGGGGCATTGTCATGGAGGAGCGACCAGGAAGCTTGCCCTAGATATTCAGGTCGAATTCGAAGAATTCTCACCCACAAATGATTGAGGACTTCGAGATAATAATCAGAATTCACTGTTTGACCTTCTGGCAGAAATTCCTTTGGAATCGAATCAAAGAAAACGGTTAGCAGTGTCTTTACTCGACTCTTTTGCATGCGCACTTTCTTTGGTTTCGGCTGGCTTCTTTGGGCCCAACCACTCTGCACTCTGCCGCTTTGTGAGAAGCTCATATTGAAAACACCATGTCTCATCATCAGTAACAATCGATTTTGTAAATTTTGTATCACTTTGGGCCGACCGTAACATGTCTTTGCAGTGTTCCACTTTGGCATGTTTTATCGCCTGACAGCGCGTGCGGTACAAACCGCGCACAGACCTTCCGTTTGCCCAAAACATCGGTAAAAATTTGATGCACAGTACTTTTTGGTATTCCCAAAAGCTCCCCGATGAGTCTTGCAGAAACAAATATGTCTGATGCAAGGATTTCTATCACTTTTTTTTCATATTTTTTTTCAGTGCGATTTGTTCTCGGCTTTGATTCACGTGGAGTGTCTTCAGTGTCCTCCCTGCCGTCACGAAGTACAGCATACCATCGAAAAATGTTCGAGGGACTCAAACAATCACCACCGTACACACTATTCATCATTTTGTACCCTTCTCCGGCTGTTTTGGCTAGCTTCAAACAAAATATGATGTTGGCGNTCTTTTGCATGCGCACTTTCTTTGGTTTCGGCTGGCTTCTTTGGGCCCAACCACTCTGCACTCTGCCGCTTTGTGAGAAGCTCATATTGAAAACACCATGTCTCATCATCAGTAACAATCGATTTTGTAAATTTTGTATCACTTTGGGCCGACCGTAACATGTCTTTGCAGTGTTCCACTTTGGCATGTTTTATCGCCTGACAGCGCGTGCGGTACAAACCGCGCACAGACCTTCCGTTTGCCCAAAACATCGGTAAAAATTTGATGCACAGTACTTTTTGGTATTCCCAAAAGCTCCCCGATGAGTCTTGCAGAAACAAATATGTCTGATGCAAGGATTTCTATCACTTTTTTTTCATATTTTTTTTCAGTGCGATTTGTTCTCGGCTTTGATTCACGTGGAGTGTCTTCAGTGTCCTCCCTGCCGTCACGAAGTACAGCATACCATCGAAAAATGTTCGAGGGACTCAAACAATCACCACCGTACACACTATTCATCATTTTGTACCCTTCTCCGGCTGTTTTGGCTAGCTTCAAACAAAATATGATGTTGGCGCTCTGTTCAGCCGCCATTTTCCGACGAGCGTCAGAACAGTACTGTTACGTTCAAGGTCAGAACACATGATGCAGCGTTGTTTGCCCTTTGAAATTATAGACAGCCACAGATGAAACTTCAGGAATCTTAACCACAACTCGCCAACAGATGGCATTGCAGGGCAAAATTTAGAAAAATGAGTTCCACGTTTTTAATGTGCGCGTTCAAGCACTGAAAGAACTTTGTGACTTTGTTGATGTGGAATATAAAATGTATTGGCCCACATTAAAACACGACGGATTTGTCCGATGCCTGCTGATACAAGGATCGTTGTTGTATATCCAGCTTTTGCTTAATATGTCTTATGATCTGAGACATGCCACACCATTTTAAGACAAATTTTTAAAGTAAATAGCCCTTTCTGTGTACTACGCAATCGATTTTAGATGTTTAGTGCTCGCGTCAGCCGATCACGGTGGCTGCGCGGTCGAAGGCATGAACTGTCTTCGCTCGCTCGAAAGCTGGGATCGTGGGTTTCAATCCCACTCAAGGCATGGATGTTTGTGTGTGTTTATGTTTATGTTAGGTAGTGGCCTTTCTATGGCCTAATCCCCCATCCAAGGAGTACTACTGACTGTCTGAGATTAAGAAACTGAAGTGAAACGAAGCGTTTCACGGATATCCTATGCCCCAAGTGAGTACAACAGGAATATAATACAAACTCCGTGGCCTGTAGTCCGCAAACGAACTATACCGACCGAGCGACCGCCGCTTGTCGGCGAAGTTAATGCCAGCTTTAGCGAATAGAGGGTGTCGCATGGTCAGCGCAACGAATCCCCACGGCCGTTAATCTCGGTTTTCTAGACCGGAAACAGGAATACTATGATGAAGATGATGATGATGATGATGATACTTGCGTAAAGGAACTCAAAGAGCGCTTTAGCAGCTGAAGCGGCCTGCATAATTTATGCTTTGCTGGTAAAAGTTTTAAAAAGGAAAACTAGTTAGACTTGAAATCTGCAAGAAAAGAATAGTATTCATGTTGAGTTGGATGATGCAGGTGGTGTAATGTAACGTGGGTTTCACTCACGTTTGAGTGACTTTTACGGTACAGCAGCTGAATATATTAGGTCCTGCCATAGCTCAGGCGGTTAGTCTCAGGGTCACCATCGCGACGGCCCGAGTTCGATCCAAGGTCAAGTCATGTAGGGTTTGTGGTGGACGAAGTGGCATTGAAACAGGTTTCCTCCGAGTACTTCGGTTTCTCCTGCCAATTCTTGTTCCACCAAATTTTCCATATTCATTTATCATCTGGGACTCGTACAGTAAGCCAGTAGTGGTCGCAGTACCAAGTGGACTCAGTCTCACCCCACACCAAGAAAAAAAAAATCGTTACTGATTGGATTAAACCATTTACCGGCTATAAATGAATGGCACGAGCAACGCTGAGGAATGGTCACACCTGTGAAAACGTTCATAGGACACTAGAATTTATTAATCTTATCGAATCAGTTTGACGAACCTGGGCTATTTGATGAATATTGTTCTGTTTTGAAATACATCGAGGGGTAACGTGAAATCCGAACAATAAGAAAATCCCCCTACCAGAGTATGAACGCTTGCAAGTAGTACTTCACATTCTGAACAAGAAGNAGATTTACTTATACTTCTTCAACCCTGAAGATGGGGGCGATACGTTCCTCCGAAACGTCGGTTAACACCACATATACACGGTGCCAAATCCCAGAAGACTGCTTTCTTCATAGTCACCGCCGTGAAAGCCTCAAATCTTACATAAGAAGATACACCACTTAAAATAGTAGCATAGCCGTAGAATTGCTGTTACCTCTGCCAGAAACAAATGCAACTGTGGACTGTTCTCACTGGGAATGCGTTATGAACGGATTAAGAAAGAAATACGAGTAGTTAGAAGTGGCCCCTCTGAAATCAGGAGCTGTATATGTAGAGAAGCATCACTTTTGTAACTGCAAGTGCACAGAATTCCTCGAGTTTCCCTATATGAAAGATTTTTACATCAGATACACTGCCCTGCTAAACATTTCAGTCCGTACACTGCCAACACATCTGGAGGAAGTGTCCCTGACACACAGCGCTGTTTCAGCGTTTTCTTACGTACTTTCGATCGTGATGTTTTCATGATTATCGTGTTGGTCGTGTGGCGTAACTGATCGAGAAGGTCCGAATTTCCGTTACAAAAATCGGGGATCCATATTCTGGCGTAGATTTCAGGATGTTACATCGTTGTGATGTCTTGTTGTTTCAAGCTAAGAAAGGGGACGTCACTGCAAGGACTTCTGAGGACTCAAAATAATACCCCAACTTTCCGTTTTAACAGGAGAGACATAAGGACACGAACCATATCGGTTCAAGATCGTAAATATTAGACATTGATAAAATTTTAATTCAAATAATTTCAAATAACTTTTTATACAAAACTTCTGAGTAAGTATTACGAACTTTATAATAGTATTTCCTGCCTTCTGAAGATGGTCAGCTAACTTAAACATGTAAAGGCAATAAATATCTACAAATGGAATCACATTGGACGGTGTCAACAATTACTCTGTAATTTAACCTCTTAATATTTAAAATTTATTTGTATCAAAATAAATCCGACAAAAAACTTGTTTCTGCAGGCAAGGAGTGGTCCGAACATCCAAGAAGTACTGTCAGACAACACGCCACTGCCGTGAGTCGTGCTGGCGAGTGGCGAAACCAACTTGTGGATCTGATGGCAAGATATACAGCAATGCATGCAGAATGAAATCGAAGAACTGTGGGTCAGTCAAAATGTTTTATGTCATTACATTTAATCTTATGGTTATCTGCTGGTTTTTTTGGTATACCAGGATTAAATACTATTGAATATGAAGAGCTTATTTATGAACATCTGTCATTCCAAAACTTTGACTTTTGAAATATTATGTCTTTCCTATGGAACCTACAGATGTTTTGCAATTTGAAAGCTGTAAACATGTCATGAAGTCTGCAAGCCCCAACCTGGCTTCATACTTCATCAAATGAGCTGAGTTTTCACTCAAGGGGCTAAGAAGGGAAGGAAATGGCTGGCAGGTTGCTGTGTGAATGCACTGTCCTGTTTTCTTCTGAAAAATAATTTCTGACCAATAATTTGCGAATGATTAGCAGAAACACATTTTGTTACTTAAAAATAAGTCTTCTGATAAATGCTGCTGCAGTGTTGCCAGGTCAGTTGTGATCCAGCCCACATGCTGTGCAGTTTGGGCCAATAAAATGCAGTACTACGACTCAAAGAACTTAGCTACACTGTGGTTCTTTCATACTGTCACGTGATAAGAGTGACTATAGGTGGGATATGGATTGGTAATCAGATTTATTGAGCTCTTTGATACAGCGCGTGACTACACTTTACAGTTCACTGTTACACACACACACAACTGCACATATGCACACACACTCTCTCTCTTTGTCCCCCTCCATCCCTCACCCTTTCTCTTGTCCACACTCATGTCTTCACTTGCCGTTGTTCAGGAGTGGCTTCCAATGGTGGACATTCCCCTTCCTCTCGGTTCCAAGACTGCCCTGGCCTCAGCTACCAGCTTGTCACAACAAAAGCTCACAACGACTGAACTTCAGCAGTTTTCTAACTAACTCACTGACTGACTAAGCCAGTCATTCACCAACCAGCTGAACTGAACCGAACTCAGCTCAACTCATTCATCACTAACTGTCCTGCTTATAACATCTTGACATAGCCCACACAGAAAACACCATTCCTCTGTTGCTTTTTACAAGCCGTTGTCTAGTTTGTTTTGCCGTCGTTACCTAGCAATGGGCCTACATGCCACAATATAAATACATTTATATGTATGTATGTTTACACGTACTGTTCTGTAATAAATAACACATTACTTCTCACTTTGTGAATATATCTCCAAGTGGTATCTCACAGGATCTTGTGTAACCATGTTTTTAGGTTGCATCATAGCTCAAGCTGTTAGTCACTGGCTTCCCACCGCGGCGGCCAGGGTTCGATCCCGGGTCTGGTCACGTGGGATCTGTGGTGGACAAAGTGGCGCTGGGGCAGGTTTTCTCTGAGTGCTTCGGTTTCCCCTGCCAATCTTCATTCCACCAATTGCTCCACAATCACCCTCACCTATCATGTGGGGCTGGTACAACAGGCCGGAAGTGACCACAGTACAAGGGACTTAGTCCCACCCCACTAGCAATAAAAAAAACATGTTTTTAGAAATGAGAGTAAAGAAGCACGTGCAAGGACATTGCCACCCTTCTATTTGCTCCTGTGAGTAATCAAGCTCTCTTCCATTTTTATCACCCTTTCTTTCAGGGAAACTTACGTATAGGCACCTGTCATGAGTTCTAATCTAATTCATCTAGTAGTACTCAGTACTTAAGGGTCAGTGTTTTACGTTAGGTAGACCCATGCCGTGTCACACGCAGTGTACAGAGATTCCACCCACATCAAGGGCAGGGAGTAGCATGTTTCTAGAAAACTGATGCAGACAGTAATTAGTATAACAGTGGCATCTCCATGTCTTTTCATGCATGAGATAATATTATTTCTCTAGTTAAACAGCCTGTACCTAATTTTGGTTTCCTGTAAAAAAATGAACACTTGCCCCTGAACAATGTTTATAGCCATGTCCCGAACTCTGTGTTCTTTTGTATCCACAGCAAAGTGTCTTAAAATTACCAGTTAACCTGCAATATATCACAGCATGTTCCTAGATGCAGAACTCTCGACCCTCTGATTTGATGCCTTGCAATTGAGCCTAAAGCTTAATGTGGTCCTTAAGCACCAAATTTAATTGAAATTCACTGAGTAGTGTTGGAGCTGAAATGTGCAGATGTTCAGACAGACCACAATGTATTCATGTTACGTGGTTTATGAAAAAAAGTTGAAAACATGTAGAAAAAATTAGATTGTTACTGATCTTTGTACTAACAATATTATTCAGTTTGTATACTTAAAGATCCAGTCTAGAAAACCGAAATTAACTGCCGTGGGGATTCGTTGAGCTGACCATGCCACACCCTCTATCTACTAATATTGGCACTAACTTTAGTGACAAGCAGCGGTAAACGTGGACTAGAACCACGGAGTTTGTTTGTTTTTGTTTATGTATACTTAAAGAAAAAATAGATTGGTATATATCTGCAAAATTATACTTATAACCAACATACTAAATGTTAAAATGACTTACAACATTTCATGATTAATACAATGAACTGTACTTGTATAGAATGTACAGTTGTGAGTTTAGTACTTACTTACCTTTGAATGTCATGTTTTGATATTCCAAAATCTGCGCAGCAAACAACTGCAGCAGAGTCTTTGAGAAGCTGATAATTGCTCAATTACTCCAGGGAACCTGGCAGTTTATTACTATGTTTACAGCAGCCTACCACTGGTCCTTGTATGGAACTTAAAGAATACAGTTCACACCCCCTCACTGTATTTGTTTAAAATTAATTTTAATATTATCTTCGCATCTATGGATAGATCTTAAAATCGTCTCTTTCTTTGTAGATTTTCTGCCAAAATTTTGTATGTGTTACTCTTTGATCCCGTGTGTGCTACATACCGTTCTCAAACATCGTACTTTGTCTGATCCTGTAATAATATTTGGCAAGGTGGCCTACAATGTATGAAGCTTGCCATTTTGCAGTTTATTCTGTTCTTCTGCTTCTTCATTCTCCTTTAGTACAAATACTCTCATTAGCACAGAGTTTTCAAGCACCCTCAATCTGTATTCTTCACTTAATGTTAGAGACCTGGCAGCATGCCTATTCAACACAGCAGGTAAGACTATTCCAGCAGACAGTGTGCTCTTAAATGGACAGGGAAGTGATGTAAATCAATGCTGTATGATCTCAATACTGTCATTTTTAAATAACCAACTTAAAGANGCAGTTTATTCTGTTCTTCTGCTTCTTCATTCTCCTTTAGTACAAATACTCTCATTAGCACAGAGTTTTCAAGCACCCTCAATCTGTATTCTTCACTTAATGTTAGAGACCTGGCAGCATGCCTATTCAACACAGCAGGTAAGACTATTCCAGCAGACAGTGTGCTCTTAAATGGACAGGGAAGTGATGTAAATCAATGCTGTATGATCTCAATACTGTCATTTTTAAATAACCAACTTAAATAAATTCAAGATGGTTCAAATATGACCGGGACTGATTTGTCTGTAAACAAGCCACACTGCACAGCAGCTGTGTGATCTTGCGAGAGTGAAACCACAACTTCCACCCTCCCTCCTGTTCATGTTAGAACCTGTTCAGTCCTGTCTGGGAGTTGCTAGAGTGATGAGCAAACAGAATGTACCGCGGTGCATGGAACAACGCATTGTGATCGAATTCCTGGTTGGAGAAAACGTTCTGTCCACTGAAATTCACCACAGACTCCAACAGTATGGGGAAGAATGTCTCTCACGGACCTGTGTGTTTGAGTGGTGTAAGTGCTTCAGAGAGGGCAGAGAGCACGTGGAGAATGAACCGCATGATTGTTGGCCGCGAACATCTGTCACCGAGCCAAACATTGATTGTGCAGACCCACTTATTTGTGAAAATAGGCGCATCACTATCAAGGAACTTGGAGCAATGCTGTCCATCAGTGTTGGTAGTGTAGAAGACACCGTGAAATACCACCTGCACTATCGCAAGGTGAATGCATGGTGGGTACCACACACTTTGACCGACGTGAACACAATGGTGCGCATGCAAGCTGCCAGTCATCTCCTATAGCAGTTTGAAGATGGAGGTGATGCATTTTTGAAGTCTTTTAGTGACCACCAATGAAACATGGGTGCACTACTTCATTCCCGAGTCCCAGCAGTCATCATGCGAGTGGCGGCATACCAGTTCTCCCAAACCCAAGAGAGCGCAGAGGAGCCATTCAGCAGGAAAAGTGATGGCAATGTTCTTGTGGGACTGACAGGAGGTTATCCATGTAGACTTTTGGACAGATGCCAGAACAGTCAATGTAGCTTATTACTCAGACCTCCTTGCAACAGACATGAAGGAAAAGATTCCGATCCAAGCGGAAGACAGGTGGAAAGCGGGTAGCCTTCCTTCAAGACAATGCAAGCCCCCATACGGCCAAAACAACAACGGAAGCCCTCCGGAAATTGAAACGGAACCTTCTGACACATCCGCCGTACAGTCCCGATTTGGCCCCAAGTGATTTCTACCTGTTCGGAAGGCTCAAATCAGACTTGCAAGGCATGTGGTTTGTGGACAACGACGCCATCATCCAGACTGTTCGGGAGTGGATACACTGCCAACCACAAGCCTTTTTTGAAAAGGGCTTCAGGATGCTTCCAGAACGTTGGAAAAAATGTGTTGACTCTGGAGGGGTACGTTGAAGACTGACATGTGCAAGTAAGTGTTTGGCAATTATGGTTTTTAAAAAAGAAATCAGTCCCGGTAATATTTTAACCATCTTTATACAATGGAATGTCTTCCAAATATTTCCATTGCATCATGATGGTTGTGGCACATGTTCATTGTGATTTTCATTTCATGCATCCTAACCTCTTTATTATATCCGTCACAACACAACTAATATCAGTAAATATAATAAAGAGGTTGTATGTTCATTGTGTGTTAATACTAACATCTTTGTATTGGTGTTTACAGGAAACATGTGTTTGAAGTTCCAATGTCTTTCTGCGTTTCTCATGAACGGAATGCAAATGGAAACGGCTGTCCTCTTAACTGTGAAGGAGAAGATGAAAGCTTGACATGCGGTTCTGATGGCAATGTCTATCGCAATGAGTGTGAACTTAAGATGCTCAATTGTGGGTATGTAATTGTACAATCAAATATTATTCTTCCTGCAGCAGACATATTTCAGAGGTTAAGCAGTGGTATACAACAACCAGATTTATGCTTCACACATTCTTTATATACAGGGAGGTTGTCCCAAAAGCTTACCACAAATAATTCAGTTGATCAAACAGGAGGGACAAGCTCCTGACATCGACTTCAACATGCCTGTCTACACTTATGATGTAGTAAACAAGCAAATGGCTTATACACACTACAAATTCTCTTTAATATTGGCTCTGTTAGTCCTTGAGTAGCTACTGTAAAGTGAGTGTTTTGTGCCCATTGATTGTAATTTTTAGCCCCTGTTACTGTATTCAAAATTCTCTTAGTTGCATTACTTATCATATTGAAATGCCTTATGAAAGTTGCACAGTGATATAAATTTGCTTGAATTATTCACCCATGAAAATTAAGGAGAAGGTTCTGGCATGTATTTCTTCTGTGGTTTCACACCCCTGGCTTGCTGCATTTATGGAACAGAACTTCAGTATATCAGTGTTATGGAGTTTCCAGAAATTTTGTGTGTGACAGCGCACAGCATTTGCAACCTCTGCTGTGATGTGGGTGATGTCTTGGCCTGTTGGCTTGTTGGTTGTCCTGTGGTTCAGACACACATGGTTAAGTTGACTGAAGATGCTTGCATCCCTCCAGCTGTATTAGGTGAATGAAATGTGATAGGCTTGAAAATCATAAGATCCAAATCAGTGGAAGTCCTTACACTGAATTTTGGCAAAAGGGTTTTTGCAGGAGTGATTGTGTACATGGTACTTTGGAAAGTCTGTTTATGGTCTTGTACAAACTTAGCTTTAGTACTAATCTGTATGGCTGAAAATCAGAATTGCTTAACAACATTCAGTGAAAGCCTCCTATATCAAATTTTATGAAAATCCCTGTTCAACACTTAGGCCCTGATACTAGGTCACAGACAGACTGACAGACATGACTGCCACAGAAAACTTGCTTGCTTGGCTTACACTTTTACCTGAAGTTGGAGGCAGTACTTTCCTCTGAAATGTTGGAAAACTTATACCAGACTACATGGTTTCAAATCCCAGAAGGACATACTCTTCATACTCACTGCTGTGAGAACCTCACATCCCCTCTTCACAATATGTATGGCAATTCAAGCTATTGAAGAGGAGCTGAAGTATTTCAGTAGTTTATTTTGTTGAAGTATTGTTCAAATTGTGGTCTTCTGAAATGTGACATCGTGCGTCTTCAAGGTGGATACAGACTTTTCATAGGAACTCATTGCCTCCATCTTCAGGTTGAACTAGACATTCATCTACAACACTACATCATGTAACAACCCAGAAGAAAAGTGATAGAAGTCGTAACATTGTTTTATGGAAACAGTAACGTAATATGATATCCTCATTCCTATTATCCCTTTGTTGTTGTGTGAGATATATATATCAGTGAATAGATATTGCCCCTGTGACATCTTTTAATGTTTGTTCTCAGAGCACAGTCATCAAAGCGAAGGGTACAGCCAGTAGATTTTGAAAAGTGCCGTACCAAACTAAACAAGTGTAATAAACTTCAGAAATGTTTTAAAGAAGTAGATCCAGTTTGTGGCACAGATTCACACACTTATATCAACAAGTGCCAGTTGCAGATTGCTACCTGCCTGTAAGTACTGTACTTTTCAGCTTCTGGATTTTGACAAAATAATTAGTAGAGCACCAAAGCATTTGAAATATAGGTGAAGGGTGATGCTGTTGGCTTCAGCTTAATGACTGTCTAGGAGGAAGTGCATCAGATGGAATTCATGTGACCTAGGACAGGTTCGGTACATAATCAACAAGACCTCTGAACTTCCCTTTTATATGGTCAATAAACAGAATTTTTGCTACCTGTAAAATGGATCTTAAGATGGTGACATTACCAGATGGGAGGTGTTTCTGGGTCTCATTATTAGTAGATCTGTAGGTAAAAGGTAAGGCTGTCTCTATACTTATTAAAGCACTATGACATGAACACATGTGGAGTAGTGGAGATATAGCTCCATTTATTCTTAATCTCAGCGCTAGATAGGGGTGAGTAGTCGCTTCACACCCAATCTGTTTTACCCACAGGGAAAAACTCCACAGTATCCACTTTATAGGAGGCCCCAGAGGTGGGGTGGATGCTGTGGAGAACAGAAAGATCTCTGAAGAAAGCAGTCTTCTGGGATGTGGCGCCATGTAGATATTGTGTTAACCGACGTTTCGGAGGAACGTATCGCCTCCATCTTCAGGGTAGAAGAAAAAAGAAAAAATCCACAAGCGAAGAACTAGTGTGAGCAGGTGCGAATAGACTAATAGTAGACTATTAGTCTACTTGCACCTGCTTCTTATTTTTTCTTCTACCCTGAAGATGTAGGCGATACGTTCCTCAGAAACGTCGATTAACACAATATCTACACAGCGCCACATCCCAGAAGACTGCTTTCTTCATAGTCACTGCCGTGAAGATCTCAAAATCTTACACAGAAAGATCTCTGCCTACGTTCTCTGGTCATTCAGCTGATAGCATAATGGACTGTCCCAGGTCTGGATCCGTAGGACTGGAAACCTGGGCATGAATTCAGCTTGGAACTCGCCCTTTTTAATAAATTTAGAGATCAGCTATGTGTATGTATAAAATGAGAGTATGTGAGATGTACTGAAGGGTCATTTTTACATGTGCATACGCAACATATATGTAGCGAACATACCATGTTTATGACCATTGTAACCATATCAAACCTACCACAGAAGTACCTCCATTGAACATCTGCTGACTTTCACCTGTGCGAACTGACACTGTGGACTCTAGAACTTTTTCATCAACTTGTGGGAACATCCCACATACTAACATGCAGTTTCGCCGGTCTAACAAACAGCACTCAACTCCTAGTCAATATCACATTGCTGCCAACGCTCCTATTTATACAGTACTCGCTGTCTAGCCCACCTTTACATCATAGTGCGCGCTAGCCATTCAGCATTCACAATCGCAACTGCAAGTTTAAGCTCCGCCCAGTAAGCATGGTATAAAAGGCATATAAAATGTAGCTGCCACAACTCTCCAGTCCGCACTGTAGGCAGCTGTTTCTACCGGTGCACGCAGCACCACATCACCGGCCGGATGAACCAGCTGAACGGCCGTAAAGAATTGGTCTGCTACAAAGGAGCAAATTCTGCCAGCATACTCACGGTGGAACAAACTGCCCTTTTCAGGGTCAGCCAACTTTTGACCTTCCACATAGCTTCGCAGCTATTCTGTATATTCAGTTTATACAATTCAATAGATACAATTGTTACAAATTTACGTGGTTGTCTTTTAGAACATCGACAATCCCACAAACTCCTTTCTAATTTCTTGGTTACTAACACACATCTCAGCACCTTCTACCCTAGCAGGTACCCATGTACCTGCTAAAAATGTTTTTAACACCTATATTCTTACCCCTGCAGTTGCTAAACCACTTTCTGTTATTTCTCCTTTGTTTCCTCCTGCCATCCCCTTTCATCTACTCCACGGTTTCCGTTATGTCACCTTTACTATCCTCATGTTCAATAAAAATCCTTTTTATTACCTCTTCTCCTAACTACATGCATGTCCAACATTTTTCATCACCTGCTTTTCTAACCACAGGGTCACTACAACATTTCTTTGGCACCTCCTCTCTAATCACATATTCACCAGAACTTTTTACAAGGTGCGGCAATAAAGAAACCGGATTACTTTTATGACTCATTTCCGGCCACGTCGATGACGAAGAGGAGGGTAGGGCATTGACCCGTGGACTTCCCTCTACCGTCACACAAAGTTTCATTCACGCGCATTGGTTAGGCTGGCCGGGACCATTGTTAGAAGCGGATCGTGTGTCTGAGCTCCGTCGGAATAATGCTGAGTGCTAATGTAGAACAACGTGTTAACATCAAATTCCTCACAAAACTTGGAAAATCTGCCACTGAAACTTACAATTTGTTGACAGAAGTATATGGTGATCAGTGTCTATCTCGCACGCAAGTTTTCGAGTGGTTTAAGAAGTTTATGGAGGGTAGGAAAAACGTCGGGAACGATCCAAAATCGGGCCGTCCTTCCACTGCGAAAACTCCAGAGAATGTGGAGAAGGTCGCTAGAATTGTTCGAAGAGGTCGTCGACTGAGCATTCGAGCAATTTCTGAACTTACCAACATCAATAAGGAAAGTGTTAGATAGATTTTGCACGACGATCTGGGCATGAAAAAGGTGTGTGCTAAAGTGGTGCCAAAAATCCTTACCCCCCAGCAAAAGGAACATCGAGTGAATTGCTGTGTTGACACTCTTGAAAACATTGAAAATGATCCTGATTTCTTCCAAAACGTAATTACGTGTGACGAAACTTGGATTCTTCAATATGATCCAGAGACTAAGCGACAATCCATGCATTGGAAGAGCCCCAAATCCCCTAGGAAGAAGAAAGCGCGCATGAGCAAGTCCAAATTCAAAGCAATGATGATTGTTTTTTTCGATATCCGGGGGGTAATCTACATTGATTGGGTGCCTGAAGGTCAGACTGTCAATCAGGTTTATTATAAAAATGTTTTGACGTACCTCCGTGAACGTGTGCGACGAAGGAGACCAGACATGTGGAAGAATGCCTCATGGGTTCTTCATCACGACAACGCGCCAGCACACAACGCGCTATCTGTGAAGAGGTATTTGGCAAAAAACAACATTCCAGTGATGGAACATCCACCGTATTCTCCGGACCTAGCACCGTGCGACTTTTTTCTCTTCCCAAAAATCAAGTCTGCGCTGAAAGGGACCAGGTTCGAGTCCGTGGATGCAGGGAAAGCAAAAGCGACGCAGCTCTTGAAGAGCATAACACAAGATGACCTGCAGCACTGCTTCCAACAGTGGAAAATTCGCATGTCGCGGTGTAGGAATCGGGGAGGGGACTACATTGAAGGGGATAACATTTCGATTGTCTGATTTTTTTTCAATAAAGGGTTAGAGCATGAATCCGGTTTCTCTATTGCCGCACCTTGTATGTGATCTCATTTCCTTTCCCCATTGTCACTAAAAGTGATTTATCATCTCTTCCTCTAAACACATGACTGGTTAAACTTCATCATCACCGGCTTTCCTGATTACCTGGCCTCCAAAAAATTTTTCAACACTTTTCTTCAATTTTGGGTTTCTTCCCCATTGGATAGCATTCCACTACATTTTTTAATCTAATCATACTTTCATCTCCCACTCACTGCTTATGGGAATTCATTGCCATTGCAAGTACTTTTGCACATAGGTACCAACATTTAAGAGGAGTGTGAGACCTCCATCTTCAGGTGTTTATATCCTGAACATGAAGGTAGCAGATTCCTCCAAAATGTAGGTAGCTATTTACTTAACTACATGGCAATGTGTGCCGTAAGTCTGCAACAGTCTTTAGCCTCACATAATTATTCATTACTTTGGCAGTTAAGGATGTCTGTCACTTCTGATTGCAGAAAAGGAATTCAGCTAGCACATGTTGGAAACTGCACTGCACTGGAAGAGAATGATTTCTGCCCAAACAGTTGCCCTGAAGATGAAGATGCACCTGTATGTGGTTCAGATGGAAATGTCTACCGGTAAAGAAATTTACATTAAATTTTTTTTAAATATTAAACAGGTCAGGGCTTTGAAGAAGTTTAATGTTTATATAAATAGGTACTTTGAAAACAGGGAAAGTTAAAACTAGTGGAGAAATCAAGATGAGAATTGGCTGTTCTGGCAATCCGTATTATTATGATTTACAACATAATTTTAAGACTAGACAGTGGGCAGAATATCTAACATTCAAAGACACACAGTAATTTTAAAACCAGTCGTGATGTATGGATGGGAAACATGGCCCATGGTCCATCCCTAGACCATCAGGTCCACATTCTGTGGATAATATTAAAGCATATCTCAGATAAACAGGTGGTGAAGATGTGGACTGGCCAAGAATGGGGTCTAAAGATTTATTTTGTGATCATAGTGATGAATGTTAAGGTACTGTAAGAAGGACATTCTTGATCGGTTGCTCAAGGAAGATACTGTACAGTGGAGGTTGTTAACTCCTGACTGTCAAATCCTGCCAAGGAACTACCTGTGAGAAACACCAAGGTTGCTTGGGAATAAGTGCCATTTTATACAAAAGCCCACAGTCTTTCAGCAGAGTGCCTTCAGCCACAGATGTAGATAGTGTGAAAGCCTGTTCTTGCATCTGAATGTTAGTACATGACATTTCATGCCATCTGTTGACAGAAATTCTCCACTTTGTGACTAAAATTGAACCACTCTTCTTGGCTCTAGTAATTTAATGCTAGAATGCTGAGTCTATCTAATCAGCGGAGGTGCACAGAGTGTCATATCTGAATTCAGATATATTTTCTTACAGGTCATTGTGTGAGATGAGAAAGGAGACTTGTGGCCAGAAAGTAGTTGCTGTTCCTTCACATCATTGCCGAACTACCGCCCAGTGCAATGAAGTGTGTGGCACTGAGCGCCAGTTCATCTGTGGCTCCGACAATAAGTTTTACCGCAATGAATGTGAGATGAAAAGGGATAATTGCGGGTTAGTTGATTTATTTAACAATGCCATTTCATCTTCAGAGATCATTCAGTGATATGAGAAAGGGATTATATATGGTGTAATGGAAAAAAACTGGCGTGGAACTGATCATAGAATAGTTTAACCCTATTGCTGCAATATTTGTCTAAAGTTGAACAAACACCCATTGCTATATATTACAAAATTTAATTTTAGTCCACATAAAAAATTATCTCCATTTAGTGCATCATTTAACTGCATTCCTTGGCTATGAAAATGTATTTTCGTTGTTTTTGAAATATTTTTAACATAATCTTTTGTTGCTTTAGGAAAATGTTGAGAAAATAATAAGCAGCAAAAGGTTAAGTGTAAGTTTGTGGGATGAATATTACTTTCTTAGGGGATGTGAGCCATGTAGCTTGACGGAAAATACAGACATTTCAGAGGAATCTGCTTCCATCTTTAGGATAGGATAGTAATGGCAAATATCAGCTATGAATGGTCATTCATCACATTGAACCTGATGATTGAAACTTAGGAGATCTCTGAGACTTTGGCTTTTAGTTCAACATCGGTGTGGCTGATCACGCAAGAAAATTTTAGTGAATAGGTACACCTCTCTGATGCCTGGTGGTCATATCTATAACTGTTAGCTGTGATGATTTCTATTACATTATGACATGCCTTAGTCTTTTATAAACAGTGGAACCCCAATTTATGGTTTCTCTGGGGACCAGTGAATTTGTAAACTGAACTGAGGAAGATCTTAAATGCAGATAATTTAGCAAGAAGTGTATTTACTTGGGATCATTGAAATTGAACAGAAAATGAAGGAAAACAAACTGAGGAACATTAAGCGGGTCCACTCTTATATGCATGTTTTCTGCATATGACGTTAAATTTTACTAGTTCTTTTGAATAATTTTGAGTTTTGTTTCCAGGAAACATATCTTTGTGGTACCCATGAAGCGTTGCTTGACAGGATTCATGTTCCGTGGCTGCCAGAAAATCTGTGAAAATTATTATGATCCCATCTGTGGAACAGATGGCAAGACATACTCTAATGACTGCTTCCTGGATCTGGAGAATTGCAGGTCACGATCACTTGTATCCAAGAAACATCATGGACAGTGTGGCCAACCTGTCACAGAAGCTAAGAATTACCTGTATTAATGTGTGGATGTTCAATGTGATAAATGCAATTAATCCAGTCCTCAATATACTTGCATATCTGGCATGTCTGCTAGATGAATCTCAAATATAGTCATTTCCATGATGGATTTGAGATTCTCATGATAGTGACTACAAATTTGTGGTCTTCATGGTTGTAACGCCAAGTCATATAGATGGAGATCAATGTTTCAGAGGAACATGTGACCTCCATTTTCAGGATCAAAGAGTAAACCAACCAAGAAGCCTGAAGAAGCTGAGCTTGCTGCCTGGTTCTGCTGGTTTTTTCTTGGCTTACTCTTCTACCATGAAGATGGAGGCAGTATATTCCTCTGAAATGATGGGCTACCTCCGAACTACATAGTATTACAACCCAGAAGGCTATACTCTTTTTTTGTTAAGGGCTTTTTAAAAAATGAATAAAAACATTATAGCAATATGAAACGTTTTGAGCTAATGAATCACTGTAATATAATATGTGAAATGTGCTTGGTGACATGCTACAAAAACGTCTACTGCAAGTGACAGTGATATTAAAACTTACAAGATGCAGTCCTTTGGAATCTCAGAATGCATCAGCCATATGGCAAATGCTATTAATATTTCTTACTTCTATAAGAAGAATCACTTTCTAACTCTAAGGACAGGATGGTAGTGTGTCTTGTGGCCAGAGGTCTCCAAATTTAGGTTTCATGTTGTTTATGCCTCTTTAGAATAAGATTTATCAGACTGCATTTCCCTGTTTATTGTCACAGTCAGTTTTCCTATGATACACTCATCACCAAGTCATTGATGATAATGAATCATAAATACAAGGTCTGGCTTTGAATACAAATTGGAACCTGCTTCTTTCAAATTGTAGTGCGAACCTCAGTAAATAAGAATACATGAGAACACATTCTCTTAAAAAGAAAAGGAAAAAACAGAAAACTTCAGTGGAAGTCTTTGCATTGTTAATTTTGTCATATAAAATAACTGTCTTTCAGAACAGTAAATATTAAAAATACATTTACTAGTAAATTGCTACTAAAAATGCCAGGAGGTACAACATGAGTGCCAAATTTAGAGAAATGCATGGAAGTTTTATAGAATTAACTTTGCAAAGATGGGACCCACTTTTCCTTAATTCAATGTCAAAATCTACATTGAAATATATTATAAAACTCTCAGAAATGAGGCATCAAAATTCAACATTAAACTGGCTGATGGATACATATAGGAAGGTTGAATGTGCTCTGAATGCTTCTTATTGTGTGTAATATCCATGTTTACTTGTTATCTCTATTTACTGCTCTGAATAATTTAAAATTTTTACTGACAGTTTTTCATATTTTTATTATGACTTTACAAGAAAAATAACGGCCACTGGGTAATTAATTGCTGCTTAGAAACGACTGTTTACAGGCCAGTTCTATAAAGGTTCTCTTGGTAGTATATTACACTTAGGATTACCAGGTTTGTAACTTTGTCCATTTTCTTGTATTCTAAACATAACACAGTATTTTGGAAAGTGGATTTGTTCTCATTCTCAGATAAAAAGGTAAATAGTTCAGTGACTGAGATTAGCTACTTACAATGGACACAACTGAATATGTTCCCCTCTACTGTTTCACCTGAGGATGGGAACACATCCAGTTACTGAAACGGTGTGTTCTGTTTGGAATACTAGAAAATATACAAAGTCAAAATTTAGGATTTCTGCTCATTTCTCTGACAGACAATAAACTAAGAAGACATGACTTAATTTACTATGCGGCTTTGTTAATGTGATAGAATGTTGAAATTCTCTGTTTATGATGTGCAGCTTGATAACTCACTGAAAGCTTACATTCCTTTTAGACATGCAGAGTGATTACAATACCGAAGACAGCAAGTGCCTTACACAAACATAATGTTAGTGCAGCACCCCTGTGCCTGAATCTAAGGAAAGGAGCTATTATTTGGGATAGCTTATATTAATAGAAAATTAAAATTAACACAAAATATATTTGAACCTGAAAAATTTTAATGAAGAGTAAGGTGAATATAAATTGTAATACTGGCTATTATCTTGTTGATTAAGTTTGTAATCTTCTGGAATGTTCCACAGTGGAATGTGGTTCATCCAAACTGCTAGTACTTATCTACCTGACTACATGCCATTGCATATTGAAACATCGTAATCTTCATAATATTTATCTCCGTGGGAACCTCAAATGTAATGTCTTGTTGATTATTTGATATTTTCTAATTTGAATCTGTAAAAATGTATACATCTTTTTTATTTCTCTGTGTATGCAATCCATAAATTTTATTGGGTGTAATGAAGTAGTCGCTCCATGCAGATCAGCAATGCTTTATTAAACATTTAAATTATAAAAACTAGTTAACATGAACGTAAAGGAAACTAACATTGTCACATTGAGAATAAACTTAACTGATTGCATTAGTAAATTTGGAAGTGCCCAAATAGAACCCAGACAGATAGGCGCAGTTAGTTGAGAAGATGTTACAGAAACAACTGCTCCTTGAAGATTAATTTCTTATATTACTTTGTTAATCATATTCTAGCCTGTAAAATGTATATTTAAAGAAGAAAATTATTTGAAACAGTTATGAATATTTGTGATCAGTTCCATAACTGTGAATAAGAAAAGAAAGGTTCATCATCAAAAATCTGAATGAAGGGATAGCAAATTCATGGAAAAGCTGTTTTATGAAAAATAGTTTTTGATGACAGGATATTTTGAAAATACAATTGCTACTGTTACTTGTTCATTTGGCAGGGTGTAGGTCATATCATTTGGCTAATGGCAGACATATCTGTTATTTGTGTGATATTTTTTCTTTTTTTTTCCCCCCCCACTTAATCTATTAAGAAGTAAAAGCTTCAGTCTGTGGCATAAAGATTCAGTTCATTAAGAAATGATACAGTAGGTAGTGATTTCATCTTCAGTGAAAATCAAAGAGCAGTGGTGGTTTTATTATGTGTGATCCTTATTTCTGTAAAGAGCAAAAACATAATTTTATATGTAGAGCTCCAAGGAAATGAGATCTTATGAGAACATTTAATTTTAATAATTTTATATGAATGTCACAGAGTACATGTGACACTTCAACCACTGGATGAGTGAAAAATCATTTACATGCAGAATTCAGTTAGAGTGAAGAATTCAAAGATTTGAACTAAACTTGAAAGCTTATTAAATATTGTTACTAAACGAAACTAGCTGGTGGCAAGAACTTCAGAATTACTATTACTTTCAAAGACTGCAGAAAGGAAATGACCCCATTTCTTAACCTGATAACTGTGCAGTTTGAAGTGGGAATTATTTTTTTATTTTACATTATGCTCATTTTAATTCCTTTTTTATCACTTAATATTACATACTATACATTTCAGCAAACGAGACTAACACTTGAGTATTAAACGGTGCATTTATGTTCTGGACATTGAAATGGTAAGAGAGACCATAAGGAGCACATTTTTTTGAAAGGCAAAATTATTTGCTTGTAAACAGGACTGCTGAAGGAAATGTGCTGAGTAATTAATAATAGGCATCAAGAGATTTTCACTCTTCTCTGTCACTTTATCACTTAAATGGAATCCAATGTTACTGGACTTCATACTACTAACACCCACCACCACCATCAGATGAAAGACGTTTCTTATCCTTAGTATGTAAGATCATTTTCCATAATAAGGTTTTCTTCACTTTTATGTCTGTATATGTTATACTGTGTATGTGATGTTAGCTTAATTCATTGTGTATTTATTTATTATACATATGTATGTGATCAGTAATTGTTAGTAAAGCAACATTAGACATGTACAATATATGTGCATGTATTGGTAGATATTTTACCATATTCAAAGAGCATTATATGTTTCATTTGAAGCTGTATTTATTAACATTTTGTAATAAAGTAAAACACTTAAGTACCATAAGTACTTTCCTTGTATTTGAAATTTTCTGAGGATGTATCACACTCTTAGCCCACCTTGTTTCATAAATAATATGCAGAAGTATCCATTTACCTGGGATGTGGTTGCTTTATTTAGGAATACATCCAAATTAAGAAACATAATTGATATATTAAAAAGAGAAACTGCGAATGTTTTATCCACATCAAAGAACTTACTCAATATTTTCATGTCACTTTAACAGCCATACATATCTTATCATGTAGACTGCTAAGTGTACGGTATATATTTCATAATAATTATTGGTATTACTTGTTAGGTCAATGATAGGAAACAGAAGGAATATTTATGTCTCTGTGTGCATGTGTATATGTGTACGAGGACAGGTTCAAGATAGTATGTCTGTCCCCTTTACATAACTTTTGAAATAAGTGAAAACTTTTTGTGAAACTTGCTACTAGAAGCCACCCCATCTAATGAAATGTCATTATATCTCTTTCTTGTTGCTCCCACTTTTGGGATAGAAGGCATCTGTGAAATTCTTTGTTTAACTTAAGGTTCTTAATCCTAAGACAGTCGGTAGGAGTGCTTGAATGGGGAATCATCCCATCACAAGGCTGCTACATACACAGGACAACACTAACACAGAATAAATGCAGACAGACATCCATGCCTTGAGTGGGATTCATACCCACCATTTCAGTGTTCAAGCAAGCGAAAACAGTTCATGCCTTAGACCACATGGCCACTATGATCGTCATAGAAAATGTTACAGTGTTTTACTCGTATATCAGATAGTTAAATAAGTAATGTCTGTGATTTAAAACAAATTTATACCAATATCCCTAAACAAAGTTCAGGATCCTTTGGTATGAGGACAGTCACATCACTTCTGAAAATAGATATTTCAAAAGTAAAGTTTGAAACTGAAAATTCCTTCTGGAGGGGTAGAATGTCATATATTCCAGTGGAAGCCATCTAAACTTTTGGAGGAACATATCCCCAGAGGTTATGCTTGATACCTGACTCATGCTGCTGTCTTGCTTACTCCCAATGGAGGTATATTGGTTCTCATCCTGACAGGGGGATGCAGAGGAGACTGTTCTGTAATCATATCTTTCCTCTTCCTTACTGACCCCCTTTGCATCCTGAATGCCTACTACATTATCCATTTATTCATTGTTTCATCATCATATTGGTTTTGCCACATCTGTTTGTGTTTACCACAGCAGTTTCCATTTCCGTCCTCTTCTAGAATTGTAGCAGTTTCTTAATGTTTAAGGTCCCCTAGAGTTAGAAACACCTGCCTCACATGTAGGGAACTTTCCTATCTCCATGGTGATCTCCCATGGTTACAGGGTGACTTTCAACTTGTGTGTCTCAGTTGGGAACTTGAGATAAAGTTTGAATGGACCCTTTTTCCTGTCCTGGACCACAGGTCATGTACACCCACACAGTGCTGTGCTCAGAGCCTATTTGGGATAGACACTCTGTTATGTTACTGTTTGTTTGTGCCATCCTGATGTCTTACCACTACTATGAGTTGCAGTGTTATCAACCACAAGTCCCCTTAAACCATGTGGGTCTGCATACATATATGTCTGTACAGGGTCGAGTGGGGACCCTTGGGCTGTTATTCCCATGGTAAGGGATTGGCGTTGCAGCTCACTGATGGTGTAGGACTTGCCAATAGTTTTGGAATTGCCAATGAAATTCTAGAAGGATAATCCCACTGAGATATTTCTTGAGAGTGAGTATGGCATAGGTTGCCACGTGGCCACAGGAAGGTTTTGGTGCCTCTCTCCATCTTGTCCCCTGAATGGGAGGCTGATGCCAACGTTTCAGAGGAGGAACCTATGATAGTGACTTCTTCACGCCTGTCTTCTCCTGAACCACATCCCAGCAAAAGATGAAAGATTGATTGTTGTATAGCAGTTCTAACATTCCACAATCGCTATTATGTATTCCTTTTAGTCGTGGAACTGACTCACTAAACTGTAGTCTCTTTGTCTTTTTGTATCCCAGAAGGCTGTGCAGTTTCCAGTGTAGCAAGATGGTTGTTGTGTGTTATGTAGTCATACTGTTTTTAGAAAAAGAAGTCATATGTTATGTATGAAGAGGAAATTCTTTTGTGTCAGTAAGATACCTTCCCTCAATTTAAACATCATTAATGCATCTCATTCTACTGTTAAATGTTGCATATCACGTTATCTTAATCTATGGTGTTCCAGAATGGATAGGATTGCGAAAGCCTGAAGTCCATTTTACATGTACAACTATGAGATACTGTAAAAAATGATTCCAGGCTCTGAGATGGTTGCCTTCTAGTGGAAATACATGTTGATAACCAGGCTAAGAAACGTTTAAGTATGAGCTCCTGGGTTCATGTTGTGTTGTAACTGAGTCATATCCAATCCTCAGCTTGACTAGAGGTGTGATATTTTGCCCCCAGATTGACGGGTGCACAAATGAGGAACCCTGGTTTGGTCTTGCAGATATATATATATATATATATATGGTGAAAACATATCACATCCACACTGTTTTACTAACACATACCATATTTCTAACTTTGAAACCCTGACACTGCTCGACAGAGTGGCGATTCTTTACACTCAATATAGTGCCAAGCCTTATGAGTGCCCATGCTCTCGTTTAGATTTCAAAGTTTGGACATATGTAAGCCTGATGAACTTCTGACATTAATTTCTAAAATGTGGAACAAAAGACCATGGCTACACAATCTGACCAGGGCCTGTCTGATGTATGAACTGTTCTGCATTCCATGTATCCAGCTCATCTCTTGATGCTGTCCAATATTCCTGTAAACAGAAAGCGAACAAGAAGTAATTCATGTTGAAGAACACTTATAATTTCTGATGGAATGGAAGTAAAACTTTAAACTGCAAACTAAACAGAAGACAGTCACCTATGCCCACCCTATTGCTTCTTGCCCTACTCCCTCCTACATGTTTGTTCTAACATGATTCTACCACTGCACCTGACACAGCTGGTTTCAAGGTACATCCCTATGGACCTCAGACTCTTCCTAAAACAGTGGTGGTGGCCGAAATCTCTCAGAATCACTGACGGCTTAGAAGATTCAAGAGCGTCTAATTAGACGTTCACCATATCGTACAGAGTAACTGTATCATTCCGTGGAATATCAGTGGATCCTACTCTCGCCTACCTGAACTTCACATCATGCAAAAGAGGTAAACTCCTGCCACTGTCTCTCTGCAGGAAACACCTTCCTGCATACTGCCATAATCAGAGGAAATGTCTTTTAGAAGTATGACAATCTTGGTGGCAAACAGTGGGACTGCCAAATTTGGTTGAGCATTGATTTCTCAGCTTCCAGTTCCTTACTTGCTTCTGAGAAAGGGGGGGGGGGATTAAAGTGGCTGGGACATGTAGCTGACCACTGACTTCCACCTAGTGCCAAGGTCAAAAATGGTGGAACTATATGTACTCTTCCTGAGACCGCTTCATTGTGTGGTGCTCAATTAATTAAGCACAGGGACAACTGTACATTTTTACCTTTTAGTGCCCAAGTCTTTTAGTTTTGCATGTATATAATAACTATAAATTGTTCTCAAACCGGCTGTGTAAAGCACATGTGACTTTTATAAATGTACAGACTTTCTCATGCTACTGGCTGCTCAGACCCTCTTCATTTTTTTATTTAGTTAGTAGTGTGTCTACAATCTACTCTCGATAATATGGAGTAATATGTAAATTTGTTCTAAGTAGGTGTCTTGAGTAGAGAAGTTGTCCACTGATGTTACTCTGACAGGCCCTCTAGAGGAATGGTGGTGGTTGTAATCTTTGTCATCTGCAGGTTGCGGTAGATCAGACAGCCATTGTCTCCTCAATCTTCTTACATTTTGTGGGTTGCTGATTTCTACAATTAGTCTGTTATTGTGTCCGAATATGCTTTGAAGGCAGAGTGTTGACAATCTATGATTTTTTTATGACAAATGGGATTTGCAGATCACTGTGGATAGTAAAGTTGTAGATATACCAAAGTGCTTTAGTTACTGAGTGCAAGAATTTGAATTGAAGTCTTTGAATTATTTTCATGTTTGATGGTTTTGTACAGCCCCATAGATGTATACCATATGTCCATATGGGTTTTATTATACACTTGTGTAGTAGAAATTTGTTTTCTATGGATAGCTTGGATTTATGGCCAAAAAGCCAGGACATTTCTCATAGTTTTAAATTTAATTTCTGATGGTTTGTTTTGATGTGTTTCTGCCATGTCAGATTTTGGTTGAGGTACAATCCCAAGTACTTCGGTTTGGACTGGTATTTGCATATTATTGATGGTAACCTGCAGGCAAGGCATGTATTTCATGGTGAATGTAACTTGCATTGATTTTGTCTGGTTTATTTTGATTTTCCATTTGCTGTACCATTGCTGGAGGAGGTTTAAGTGCTGTTGAAGATGTTGTGATCCTACTACTGGATAATTATTTGCTGCTAGCAGGGCTGTGTCATCCACGAAGGTTGTGATTATAGTGTTGTTTGTTATGGGCAAGTCTGCTGTATAGATTAAGTACAATAGAGGCCCCATCACACTTCTTGGCGGTAGCAATCGGAATATGAATTATTATATTGTGACATGGATGGCGCAGCAGGAAGTAGGGGTCATGTGAACTCTGCATTCTCGTGATTGACATCACATACCCCCACTTCTTCATTCATTATGCAACGCTTGGTAAACACCCCTCCACGCTAGGCTGTGATGTCACGCAACAGGCTAGTCTGTGCAGCGACTATTGCTAGGCAATGTGTAGGTAGAAACACCTGACAAAAATACCTGATATCTGTTGCCAAGCAACAATGTGTTCTTTATGTTCTCTGTGCCGAGCCTAAATAAGGAGCAGCGAACACTATTCAGGAGTAGTGAGTACTGAGTAACCAGTATCCAGTATGAGGTGAAGTCCAGCAGCTACAAGCTGAGTTGTATTGAGTGAATGGCAGTGACTCCAGCAGGGGAAGTAATTGTGGAACTGTAAGAGCGAGAGTGGAATAAAT